CGGTTGAGGTGTGTTCAGAGCAACACTTCTCTCTCAGTTTAACTTCTTCAATAAAACCTGTTAAATCTTTTCCCTGGTCTCCCTGTTTGGTCTTCAGCATTTGGGTCTGAACTTTAGTAAAATCATGACAGAATTGAAAGACAGACCAATTGACTCCAGTCTTATGTGATGATGCAGACCTGTAGGCTTAGTCTATGTTTTTAAATGGTAGTTTCACAATTATTTGCCCATTGTTTTGTTTTTTATGACAAACTGATTTTATTGTTTTTGATAAATCCCGCTGACGTCCAGTGACTTCAATGATTTAGTAAGATGATGACATTTTGAATTGGAATTAGTAAGTAAGTTAAATCAAGCAAAATGTAGACATGCAGATGTTTGTTTTATCATACCTGCATATCCCAGCAGAATGTCTTCCTCACTTAGTCTGGTGGTCTTCCTCTCAACAGGGTTCTCAGCCACACAGCTGTAGTTGTCTCCATAAGATGGATCTACCTCTAGAGATAGAGTCAGGGTTGTCAGTTTGGGACTGCTTGTCTTTTTTAGACTCTCCTTGCCTCTGTACCAGGAAAGCATCAGCTCTCTGCTGTTGTGGACTGAGCATTCCACAGTGACTGAGCTGGAGCTGCTGTTACAGACAGAGGGAGAGATAGCAATAGACGGAGCAGGGATGAAACCTGGTGAAGGAAGCACAAGAGAAGACCAGAGGACTTTTGATTTTATTTGTTCTTTTTTTGTTAAATCACCTTCCCAAAAACCAGTAATAATGCATATCATCACATCCAGGCAGACAGAGGCCACTATAGCCCTGATATCGCCCCAAATATGCACCCATAAGATCTCTGCTGTGTTGCACATTTAATGATATTTAAGCTTTATCATAAATGTCCTGATCGAAGCCCTGGTAGCTGATCTGATTACTCACTCCATTCCCCTGCCGTTCCCTCCCCATGCTCTAATTATCATTGATCTTATTCACCTGTTCCCTCAGCTATGATTTAGCCCAGCTATCGGGGCCAGATCATTATTCGTAGTTTTTCGTGTAGTTATTCAAGTTTGTTGGTTTCTGAGTTTAGTTTAGTCCCTGGTTCATGTCCTGACTCTTGAGGGGCCTGTGTGTCAAAGGGTGTTTGTCTCCTGTCTACTGATCGTGTCCCTGCTCTTCTCCGCAGAGCCTTCAGGGTTTTGACTTGGAGTGTGGGGGGTGCTTGGGTTCTGGCTCCTCTCCATGGGCCCTCTTGCAGTGCGTGTGAGGTCAGTTTTAATTACCGTAATCCTGGCTTTAATAGGTGGAGTACAGTTTAAAGTTCGGCAGTTATCTCTGTCCCTCTCAACCACTGAGCCCTCCTGTCTCCATCTGAGCATGTCTGTCTGAGCTTGCTGCTGGACTCCTAGAACTCTGAACCTGCCTGAACGCTCTGTGGAGTCCTGGAACTGTATCTGTCTGTTACTGTTTGGATCGGAACCCCTGGTCGGGCTACGGACTCCTGGATCTCAGAACGCCTCTGACCTGGATCGGTCTCCTGCCTGCCCACTGGGGCTGCTGCATCGGGAACCTTCTGGATGGCTAAGTGCTGCATTCGTTGGCAGTGCATTGGTTGATCCTGCCTTTGGTTAGAGCAGTGGTTCCCAAAGTGTGGGGCGCGCCCCCTAGAGGGGGCGCAATGCCATTGCAGGGGGGGCGCGGGAAGCGGTATGGATGAATGAAGAAAACTTTTTTTTATTGTAATCCAAAGGGGGGCCCAGAAGAAAATCTTTGGGAACCACTGGGTTAGAGGATGGACTGAACAGTAAAACCAGACTGCCATTGATGAGCAATGCTCTGCCTTCCGCCTTCAGCCGCTGGAGGTCCGCAGAGCCACAGCAGCCCATGTTTCTGTTCTGTTTTATTATTTTTGTCATTAAACGTCTTAAAACTTCCCACTGTCTGACTCGTCTGAATACTGGGTCCATCTGTTCCATTTTATGACAATAGATTGTACTAATTTTTTCCCTTTTCCCTGTAAAAAAATATCCCATTATGAAAACCTGAAAAAAGTATTTTGACATCAAAGATAGATTGAATGGCTGGCTGCTGTTTATGTCAGATATTAGTCTCTTCATCCTCTGACATGAGAGTTGGCTCGGATCTCGTCTGCCTGGCTGTGTGTTTACTAGACAGGACCGCCTTTTTACCGTAGCCTTTTGTATCTCTGCTTCTCTTTCTATGTCTGCTTCTGTCTCCTTGAACCCCAGTGGGCCTCAGCAGATGGCCGCTCACACTGAGCCTGGTTCTGCTGGAGGTTTCTTCCTGTTAAAAGGGAGTTTTCCTCTCCATTGTCGCTACAAGCATGCTCAGTGTGAGGGATTGCTGAAGAGTCAATGCAATCAACTGGTTTTCCTTAGATAGAAAACTATGAATTAATCTGACTGGATGATCTGGTGAATTGTAAAGTGCCTTGAGATGACATGTGTTGTGAATTAGCGCAAAAATAAATAAACTAAACTGAATTGAAAAGTGCAGTATTCAGCTACGTAATTGGACGTGATAAGAAAAGGCACACACTTTTCTACAAAGATATCATACTTAACTGTTCATGTCAGAACAAGAACACCAGTTAAGTCAAATTGTCTGTGGACCTCCAAAACAGCTCTGCCTGAAGGCACAAATCTGGGGAGGGAACATTTCTGCCTTTTTGAAGGTCCTCGTGAGCACAGTAGCCTTCATCTCTCATACATCAATTGATGCATCAATTCACCTATTAGCCTGAATGATAGCGTGCACAGAAAACAGTGCCTCCCTAATTTAGAGGCACATTGCAGCTCAAGTGGAGTTTACAAAAGCCACCTAAAGGACTCAGACCATGAGGAACAATATTACCTGATGGAAGAGTTAGGTGTAAATGCTAGTGCTCATGTTTGGAGAAACCATGCATCACTCATTACCAGGAAAAAAGTTTATCCCAGCAGTGAAACATGGTGGTGAAAGTATCATGCTATGGGATGTTATTTTTCTAAGCAGCAGGACCTGGCAGAGCAGTCAGGAAAAATTGGGAGATGAATGCAGCAATGTACAGAGACATCCTGGATGATGAACTGCTCCAGCAGCCAGCAGCTTCCCCTTCAATAAGCTCCATTAAGTATACTATAAACAACTTTTCACCTTTACTGGACAGAAGCCACAAGCATTAGCTACTCACTGTAGACAATAAGATGGAAAACTCTCATCAGGATTTTAGTCCCGATAGACTGGAACTGGTATTTGCCCGTATCACTTGTTTTCACTTGAATAATAGTCAGAGATCCAGTGTGGTGGTCAATAAGAAGCCTGTCTTTGAAAATCTCCCCGTAGTCATTTTTCACCTCTTTGCCCCTCATTATGGTGGCGATTCGCATGTTTGGGGTTTCAGCTCCAAAGGTCCACACACTCTCAGCGTTGAGCAGAGTTTCTCCTGTCTGCAGTGTGACATTTGTTTTCTCTCTTGCTTTCAAAACGCTCTTTTCCTGAGTTGCCCATACGTAACAGAGCAGTGCTGAAAGAAATCAGAAACACATAACATTAAGAAATTAATCAGGAAAGACATGTGAAGTTCAAAAACAGGATATATTCTGAGCAAGAAAAGGAGTTCAGAAATGATTGTAACCCCTGTGTTTGTAACTGCGACGTGACATCTGTACAGGATGCTGTGAGGGAGTCTAATAAACTGACATGTTTGCTATGACTGTATGTGGGTTGTACACAAATCAAAATCTAGATAAGTAATTTTTTCTCAAAATAAGTGTATTTGTTCTTGGATTGAGAATGAAAAAGAGACATTTTGCCAATGGAACAAGTATATTTACATTTAAAATAAAAAAAACACAATCGCATTGTCTTAATTCAATTGCATTTTATATAATTATCTTATTTTAAGAGTAAAAATACTCATTCCATTGGTAAACGATCTAATGTATCTACTCAAATTAAGGGTAAATACACTTAATTTTTACAGTGTATGTGTACAATTTTATTCAATTAGTCAGAATTTAGACAGATTTTAGCAGTTTGCTCTGAACTTCACTTTTATGGAGCATGCTATGATTTAAAAGAGATCTGTTGTAAAAACCATTGAATCAAGTAAACAAATCAAATAAACAGGAGAATGTCTAAGAAATGAGAAAATGTGATTAGATCATGATCAAATTCTCTTCTTTTTGATTCAAGTAATGCTAAAATTTGACAAAAAGAAATAAATACTTCATAACTGAGAGACAGATTTGAGAAGAAAGGTTTATTGATGATTTCTATATCGTTACACTCCATTATAACTGAAAACAACCTAGTCTGAATGTGAGAAGACGTCTAAGTGGGCAGAAAAAGAGGCCTTACCTGCCATGAGGTAAACAGAGAGTGCTGCCATGTCAGCGTACATGTGTCGTCCACCTATGTAAAGCAACACTGCTTTATGCTGCGGTGAAGCTGTAGGGCTGGTGCTGCCAATCACAGAGAAAGTTGCTGTAATCAGGAAGGAAAAGCAAGGAGGAAACGCTCTTCACACATTGCGTACGCTTTGTTTTCATTTCTCACGGCACTAAGGGGCTTAGAGGTCGTTTTTTTCTGTGAGTTTATTTGCTTCCAGCATGAGTTGGAAAATACGAGCCACAAGTCCTGCTTGAACAGCTCAACTGAGCTCTGGTTCTGCTATTGTTTAATATTCAGTTCAGTTATCTTTATGGTCTCATCCCCGTGTGTTTGTGTGAGTCACAGGTGGGGGTGGTGGATTGGCTTCTATATTCATACAACAATACATAAACACTTTGCTTAGTAAACTCTAACTCATAAGAATATAAAAAAATGATAACAAATATCAGAGTACATGTTAGACACATAGGAGAGAATATTTCTATATGCAATGGGTGATTTTTAATCAATGCAGCAAACTAAAAATTTAAAACACAACCTATTTCAGCATCTGTCTCTGTTTATCAATGTCTGAGTGTATATTGTAAAAATAGAGAGGAAAATTAAAGGGCTATAAAAGTTCCGGCCATTTACTATTTTAATATATAAACAATTTTGGTGCAATATTTTATGATTTTCATTTGTCCTCTTATTTATGCAACTGTTAATTATTAAAACAGTTTTAATATCTCTTCCTTGTCTTTCTGAAATGGACCAGTAGAATTAGATTTTTTTTACTAATAAAAAGTTAAAATAGCTCAAATTTCAATGTTCTTTTACTGATGGGATTTCCTCCACTTCTAAATCCTTCATTTCTTCGTTCTGTCATTCCTCAGGTTTATGCCTCCCTAGTGTCTCCTTGGTTTTTGGTTCCTGAGTTTTTGTCGATCGGTTCTGGAACATGGCTTCTGTGTTTTTACTTCTTCATTAAATTTTGGAAGAAATCATCTGCATTTGGGTCCTCGAAAAGTATCTACTTATCCTGAGCCAAGTGCTATTCAGAAGTGACCTGGTTCTGTCACATTGTGCAGTTGTGAGGGACGGTCAGACTTTTTTTGCTATTAATCATTCTGTCTCCCTTTTATCTCTTTTTTCTTTCATCTTTTCTCCTTTGTCATAACATTACGTGAATGAAGTCGTAAAATAACAAGAATAAAGTCGTAACATTACGAGAATAATGTCATAAAATTATGAGAACAAAATTGTAAAATTAAAAGAATAAAGTTGTAACATTATGAGAATCAAATCGTAATATTAAGAGAATAAAGTCCTAAAATTACGAGAAACAGGTTATATTTTATGACAACACCTACAAAAAGAGCTTTCTTCCCTAAAATGAGGAATGTGGAGCATCATGTGAAGTTATACCTTGGCTGTGGTTTGATAAATAAGGAAATCTTTTAGCAGCAGCATCAAACTGGGCAGGATGTCAAAGTGGGCTCAGGTTGCTGATTGGTGGAGCTGGTCGACTGTCATCTGCTGGGCAGAGCTCCAAGCTTTTGTTCTGAAATGGGTTGTTGAATGATGACTTCATTCTCGTAATATTACAACTTTGTTCTCTTAATCTTACGAATTTATTCTGGTAATGTTACAATTTATTCTTGTAATTTTATGACTTTATTATCATAATGTTACGAGTTTATTCTCTAAATAGAAGAAAAAGAAAATCTGTAGCCTGGCCCTAGTACTCCGTCGTAATCTGTAAAACTCCCTGCATGAATTATAATAAAGCTATTTCTCTGCCTAAATCAAGCGGAACACTGTGGCGATAGCCGTACTGCTCCACTTGTGTAAGTAAAATCTGTTGGGCTCTTTTTTTGCATTAAGAAAATTATTCTTATTGCCACATTGCCAGACAGGACACTGTTAAAAAAGAAAAAAAGAAAAAGAAAAAATCAGTCAGTTAACAGTGAACAAAGGTTTTTGGGACTTGTGAGAAACCACAGTGGAATACTTTATTTTGTTATTTACTATGTTATTATAGCATGTTTTTGTTGGATTACAGGATATCATCAAAGTTTAATTAAAAAAATATCCTGTTTGTAGTACCCGTACCTGTTTTAGAAGTATTAATACTCCCTGTTTCTTGCCTTGCCTCATTTTTGTGGTCAAGATCTAAAAATAAAACATAAAAAGAAATAATCTATCAGCAAGATGATGCCTGAAGGAGTCGAGTTCTTGAAAAACAAGAACCAGATCTCATTAGGACACAGATCTCAGCAGTAACTTCATTACTAAATGTTTTACTGCCCTGCAGTCACTACCAACTAAAGTCTAATGATTTAGTCCTGGATGTGTTTCTCTCTCATGCTAATCCCCATCCACACACCCAATTCCCTACTGCGTCTGCCAGTCAATGCCTTAGTTCCCGTCAGGTCACACACCACTTTAATGGACACACACACACATGCACCTTTAGCCAGACAGGAGTTAAAACCATAAAAGCAAAGGCTCCATTATTATCCATGTGTGTGCTAGTGGGTAGTGGAGTGTGTGACAGTATTATGACCAAACACACATGTGCGTGTTCACCTTTTACCAGGCCCTATGTGTGTTCCCAGACCCGATTATCAAAAACATGCAACTAAGTGCTGGTCAGCCAGGTGGTCTTCCCAGACCTGGGTGGTCTCAGGACTTAAAAACCATAGGTGTCTGTGTGTGTTTGGTTATGTTGGATATTTAATGAGTTATCAGTTCTGTTGGGTCATTTAGTGCTGCTTACATCAGTTTC